CCGGCCCCCCGCGCCGGCCCGCGCCGCGCCGCTCACCCGGCCGCTGTCCCTTTCCTCCTGCAGCGGCGTGGGGCTGGCGCGGGCGCACTTCGAAAAGCAGCCGCCTTCCAACCTCCGGAAATCCAATTTCTTCCACTTCGTGCTGGCGCTCTACGACAGGCAGGGGCAGCCGGTGGAGATAGAAAGGACCGCTTTCGTGGACTTTGTGGAGAAAGAGAAAGTAAGTGCGCACGGGCCGGCGCGCCCGCCCTCTCCAGGCGCGGGAGGCGGTGAGGCTGCGCGAGGGGTCCGAGAGCCCCCCCCCCCCGGCGGCGGAACCGGGACCGCCGCGCCCCGCGACCCCGCCGCCACGTGCGGCCGCCCGGGTCCCGCCGAGGGCCGGACAACTTCTCTGCGCCCTCGGACTCACTGGGGGCGCGGGGGACGCTGGGCTTCCAGCTGGAACAGTGACATCACCGCGCTGCTCCGAGCCAGGCATCCCGCCCGCCGCGCGAGGCCCAGGGGCCGCGGTCGTGGAGGGGGATTGAGCGCGGTAGTCGCGCCTGGCGCGGCCGCACTAAATGCACTTATTTATCGTTGCTTGCAGGAGCCAAACAACGAGAAAACCAACAACGGCATCCACTATAAGCTGCAGCTACTGTACAGTAACGGTGAGTACCGGCGCCCGCTGCCCGCCCCGGCGTGCTGCTCTCCCTTCCTGCGACCTTCCAGGACATAAAGATTTTGAGATTAAAATGACATGGATGTAAACACGAAATCTTCTCATGCCATAGAAGGAAAACAAAACATAAACGATCGATAAGTCGATGGCACTTCACATGATTAACCGGTGGGCTTGAAGTGGAAAGTAAAAAGGGATCGATGGAGGTCCTGCAGAACATCACTTTTAAGTGACTTTTTTCAATTTTGCAAATTAATGTTAATTATTGGGATGGGGTAGCTCCATAAACCGAGCATAACTTACTTCCTTTGCACGGTTTAGAAAAAAAAAAAATCCTCGAGAGGCGCTGGAAGGAGCTCGGACTCCCAGGACCCCACTAGGTGTTTTCTCTTTGCTAAAAATAAACGACCGCATGGGCCCAGGGCGGCAAGAGCCTGCTCTGTGCCACGCAAATGCCTTGCACCTTCGAATGTAAACCCTGAAAGTCCTAAGGCGTTTCCTTAAGAAAAGAAAGTGAGAGGCGATGACGGTTCTCTGCCTCCCTCTAGTAGGGGTCGGCCTAAGTTTTGCCTCAGCACCAAGCATGAGCCCCAGGTACCGACTTCCTGAGATGCACACTAAAGTCCTGTTGAGAATTTGTCTCTCTCTCTCTCTCTCTCTTTTTGTTTTTTGTTTTTTGCAGGCGTCAGAACAGAACAGGACTTGTACGTCCGCCTCATAGATTCAATGACCAAACAGGTGAGAGAGTTTCTGTTGTGCACTCGTTTAGTTTTTATTTTCTGTTTCTCTGTCCTTGCTGCTGAATTGGGGTTGTCCTGAGACTTCGGGAGAGTAGACAAATGGATCTTCTGTGTTTTTCCTTTAGCTTCCTTGACATCCTAATGAGAATTCCATATTTATTGGAATAAATGGAGTGATTGGTACAGTAGTTTATGCTGTCACAGGACAGGACATATATGCTTTATTAAATGCCTTGTGATTGGGATCAAATTGTCTTAATTAATTATGGTAATTAACATTTGACAGAAAAATTTTAGGATCCCCTTGTTTATTTTTAAATGTCTCTCTACTTGGAATCCTTTCATGACCCCCCACCCCAACAAAGGCGGCTAACTCCTTTCCAAAGCCCATCTAGTTGGGCTTGATTAGTTAATTCTTCCCCTCCTTTCCTAGTGTCATGGTCTAGTAACAGGAGACGTGTATTTGGATTTAAAAGTTAAATGTGCTGGGGTGAAAAGTCACCTTGTTCTCTAGTCCAGCCTCACCTCCCAGCCCCCCAATCTCCATAATTCAAACTCTGAGCTCCAGGGGTCACTCAAACTCATCCACCAAGCTGCTCTCTCCCACCCTCTGTCAGAGCTTGTAAATAACATAATTACAAGGAGTTCCTTATTAAATTATTTAACCTGTCTTGGTCAACTTTCCTGATGATAACTATTGGCTATCAGTAATGTGATTAACTGCAGAAAAGGGCCTTATTGCTTTTTTGACTGGTTCAGTCCCTGATGACTTTGAGCAGGGGGGTGGTGGTGTTGTTTTTATTTTAAGGATATTGTTTCTACTTTCTTAAAATGGAGTGCTGGGTCTGTGTGTCTGTATCCAATTCCTAAATTTAATATACCCTTCAGGGATTGCTTTAGAATACACTTGCAAGCCTCATTTCACACTTGAAATGGAAGTCGCCCCTTTATTTTTGATGCTAACTTTCAGAATTGTGAGCCAAGTGGAAGACTCCTTGTGCTTCCTGAAACTCAGCACACACATGCCTCCCTGGCTCTGAGCACAATTAGTTTGCACATTTTATTTCCCCTTGAAAAACTTTGCCCTTACCTAGGCAGCCAGGGCTCAGGTTTTAGTATCTGCAGTAGCTGAGCTGTGTGGTTTTTCTCTTGGAGTAAAACAGATCTGACAGGTAAAACGGTCTCTCTGACAAAGACCGCGGTGTCCCCTCTGCGATGGTTTCACCGATGCACAGAAACCCTGGATTCACACAGCCTGCCGTGGGTCAGGCTGCTGCTATTTCCTTTGTATGCAGGGCTGAATGTTTTCGAAATCGCTGTAGTCTAATTAGGAGGTTTTTGCTGGCACTGCTGAGTTCCTGTGCCACGCATACAGGAGGAGCAGGAGGCTTCCTTTAAAGTACACTTTTATTGTTCATTTAGCTTAGTACCTTTGCTGTGTACACAGCGCAGAAAATAAAAGCATTTAATCTCTCACTGACGGGAATGGGGGCAAAAAAGAAAGAAATAGCCCAGTAACTGATCAAAGAGTCAATGGCGCTGAACCGACAGTTTATGGATTTCTGTTTGTGCTACAAAATAAAAGATAAATCAAATACAAATACGGGGCTCCATCGGAAGACAAGCCATTCCTGCAGAAGGGCGGGCGTCGCCCAGGCCGCGCGCCTGCAGCCCCAGGCGGCTCCTTGGCCTGCGGTGACTCCCATCACTTCTGTGGATCGGCGGGCTCCCGGCTGGGGACCGAGGCTCTGGAGACTGTTCCCGGGGAGCCCGTCTCGGGCGCGGGGCAGAAAGGGCTTCGTCCGCCGGGAAGTGCAGCAAAGAGCCAGAGGAGGTTGGAAGCAATTTCCAGATAATTTTCAGGGGTGGGGGGTCGGGAACAGCCCTCCCCTTTGGAGGAATTTTCTGCCCGCTCCTCGAGGCTCGCCCCCGCCTCCTGCCCCTCCCCCAGCGGCCTCGAGGCGGGCGGCGAGGCCGGGCCGGGCCGGGCCGGGCGTGCGGCGAGGGCGGCGGGGCCGCGGTTGCGGGCGGTGGAGTCGGGCTGGGCGCCGGCGTGCGCGCACCCTTGGC